CACTCAAGGGTAGAATACCTGCCTAGCAAATATGAGGCCCTGAGTTCAAACCTACATACAGTTACACAAAAAAAAACCCTGAAAAATGGAAAATGGTTGTGAGTTGAGTGAAAAGAAACCCTGTATTTCCCCAGCAATGTTTTGTCTACTCTTGAAATTCTTCCATTTCTCTTTTCAGTTTGTTGATATATCTATCCCTATTCAACGATGATATCTTCAAAAGCAATACTAGTCTCAGTAATCTTTGTTACAGAACTGTGTTACTGGTATGGTCAATTACATAGTGTGGAGTCATGTCATAATATAGTTATTACTGTAATACATGATTATTTTATGTGTTAACTGCTCCAAACAATGTCTTCTTTAGGAGTATTATAAAATTAAAAATATCTTATAACTTATAATCTTTATAATATGATTTTGTTCCCAGCTATATGTTAAAAAGCAAAACAAAGTGAAAGTCTGTGCCTTGAATTCTGTTACCCTCTTTAAAGGATAAATTTACAGAGAGAATATCCTGCAATCATCCAATAAGCTTTCCACTGTGAAGCTCCTCTAAATTGGGAAAAGGATTAGATTTGTTCAGTGCTTGTTTGGACTGCTGCTCATCATGTTGATATTTAATCCACTATCTAACACATATCCCAAAGATATAATATGTCTAAAAGTAACAATACATATTGACCAATTTGTAGAGACATACCCATATCAGTTTTGTCATTAAAACAGAACAATTGGTGAGGATGGACCCAAGCTAAGTGAATAGCCTTACAGTATGCTTATTAAACATAGAACAGTATACTGTAATAATAGATTGATGATTTACTAAATTCTGAACTATGTACCATTTTGTGTAATCAAATTGCTCTGAGTCAATAACTATACTGATTTGAATTATTTTAATATGCATATTTTTATTTGCGAATAACTAAAAAAATAAAATTACTAAGATAAAGATCTAGAAACAACAGTTGTATGTGAATGTTTTGATAACCAGTTGCACATTTTTAGTACCAATCCAATCTAAATGAATATTTATTTATTCAACACATCTCACTTGTCTAGTTTACTTCAACAATAAATTAATCTATACATAAATAATTAGAGGTATGCAATTAGAATTAAGTGAAGCTTAGATATATGAATGAGAGAAAGAAGGCCCAAGTTTCTAATTTTATTAGTTCTTTGTCTCACAGTTTAATGATTAATGACATATATTTTCTTAAAGTCTGACAGTCAACATGAGAGCAAATAATGATTTTATATCATCTTTTTAAGTGTATCTATTCAATAGAGGACCCCAAATCAATAACTGATAAGATAAATAAAACTATAAAGCAACTGATATTATTTTACACTTAAAAATTGACCATATATCAAGATAACACATCTGTATTAATTCCTTATGTACACAATAATAAAAATACTGATATTCTTGTAGTACACTTTGTATCTACTTCTGTTTTCCCTAATGCTGAGGCTTTGTGTTTCTTTCATTATGGGAATGGAAAAGAGAAAATCCATTGTACTATAGGTTCTGCGTTAGGTACTTTTCTGATGTAAATTTCAAATTCTAAGGAAAGATACTGGATCTTAAACTAAATTTACTTAAACAAAACAGGAATAACATAATTCCACACAGAAGGACAAGAGCCTTCCTATTAATTACCAATGAATGACTCAGGGAAAAATTAAAAATTTGAAAAATTTCTAATATATGGATGCATATGTAGAACAACAATTTTATGTAGATTTTATGTAGATAAGAACCTTGAAATGGCAAATCCTGAAAGTTTCAGTAGGAAAAGTGATTATGAGCTTTCAGGGTCAGTTCAGGATTTGATTATTATTGTGCATCTTGGCTCAGCGTGATTGAAAAACTCCTAGTCTGATTGTTGAGTCCAGATGAACAATTGTATTGGACAGCCAATAGTCCAAATTCACTATCAAGCTGCTTGTCTGACCAATTATGTGACAATTGATTGTTCTAATTCTTTATTCTGAGGCCCCAACCACTCATTATCGGCTCTGCCATCTCTCACTTCCTCTGGACCCAATGGCATTTAGAACTAACAAACACAAGCCATAGGCACAGAATATTCCCTTTATCAACTCCAGTGATATTATATTGAATGCAGAAATAAAGGCTTCAGGGAGTGGGCCTTGACTGTCTGGAATTTGAATTTCTATCTGGATATAAGTTGTCTAGAAATCACAAACACACACAAATTCTCTCTCTCTCTCTCTCTCTCTCACACACACACACATACACACACACACATTTCCAAACTCTACCTTCATGTCTAGAAAAACAATGACAAATATTGTTTATTGTAGTGAATCTTAGTTGCACATATTTCCCAGTGAGCATTTTAGTTAAATTATATTCAAAATAACAATTATTTTATTCTAATTTATTCTAATTATTAAATGGAATATATATTATATGTAGTATATTATATAGTATGTATTATTATATTATCAACCTCATGAGACAATTTGATTATCCAGAAAAGTCCACCCACTAATCAACCTTGATTAAAATACATAGTGACTTAACCTGGGTTCCCTAAATTTTACATGTTTTCAAGAACTTCAGAATGTGATCCTATTGGGAAATCAGGTCTCTACAGATGCAATTCATTTAAATGAGGTCATATTGCAGTAATGTGTCCCCTAAATCCAATGTGATTGGTCCTTATAAGAAGAAAAAGAAGAATGAATACACGAGTCATACAGGAAGAATGCAATGCCAAAGACAGAATCAGATAACCTTATTATGAATATCCTAAGCTCTCTGGCCTATTTACCTGCTTTCTTTTTATTTCTTTATCCATTAGATTGCTATGAATATTGTCTGCCTTCCCTTCTGTATACCCATACCTAGACCATTCCATGGCCCACAGTGGGTGCTGGGTAAATCAGTGAATGACATAACCTGAGGAATAAAGCAATTGTAGATTTCCCAAGGCCTCACTGAAATCTGTCTGACATTTTATCACTGGTTTCCTTCTGCGTCTACAGTTTCTTTAGCTCAGAAATAGGTCTAAAATTCTGGAGGGAAAATGCCACATGACATAATAACTTAAAAGAAACCCAATTTATGAGATCTAAGTGCAGTACATTTATATGTGTAATTTCCTTTTGCTTCCATTTGGGGAGCATTGGCGGTTGAGGAGAGCCACTATTTTAGTTTGAGTCATTCAAGGAAAGACTAGGACTAGACTGCAACTCTAACCCAATGAATTGTTTTGGTTCAGCTTGGATGTTCCTCCTCAGGAAGAATGAAAAGCATATTTCTATTTACTCTGGATGTCAAGGTCTTAAGAATAGTATGGCTTTTGCAGAGACCCTATTGAAAAATAGGCTGTTGACTTTAAGGAACTGTTGACTCTGAAAATTGACTTTGAGCATACTTTACTCAAATTCTAGCTTGCTGTTCACAATGATGGCGTCTCTTTCCCTTACTGGATGACATTGGCAAATTCTAGATCTTTTTCCTTATTTATTTGTGTTTGGAAGTCTTGTCATAAGCTTTAAATCTAAACAATCATTTTTGTGGTGCTGTGGATGAAACCTAAGGCCTCACACTCCTGCCCTCTAAAACCCTTTTAGTGAAGGAAGAGGCCTCCACTCAGTGACCCAGTAAAGGAAACGGTGACAAAGGAATGGAAAGATGAACAAATACAAAACACTGGTATGGTCTTTATTGAGCAAACAGGCATCAAGGCACCAAGAATTAGAGAGGCTGCTCAGGTTGAGCTAAAGGCTATCCCAAGCCAGGTAGCATATCCCTTTACCTTCATTAAGGTACTTCGCTATTTTTATGCCAGATATAGGCTCAAGTGATTTCTCAACTGTACTATACTACCTTGTAGAGTAAGGATAAAATAAACCTGGAAAGCTTCTGTTAACACAATCTTTTGTTGAAAGGCAGTACAGAAGCAAATAGACCTAATTATAGCTTTGAGTAAAAATTATTTGAAATGCTAAGCAGAGAAAAACATGTATGATGAATCTAGTCAGAGAATTAGAAGTGATAGGTGATGACTGAATAATTTTGCATTGTTGTCAGATGAAGCTAGTTATGCCAATACTATATTTTGTAACTTGAGATAAAATGTTCTTGGACATCAATTTCAAAAATATTACCTTCGAGTTAAGATCTTAGCATATAGGTTCTTTTCTAGATAGCTAATATGAAATAAAGCAATGAGGTAATTTTCATAATCTGCTTATACATATATATATATATATATATATCTATCTTAAAATACCTTAAAATACTTACTCCCTTGATAGTTCCACTTCCAATTCCACTAAAGAAACAGAATTAGTGGAACAAGTAATATATTTTAGTGTATGAAGAAAAGGTTGAAGAATTTTGACATAGTTTTTTAAATAAAAGTGATTATTTTATACATTCAAATCTAGTAGGAAAAGCTAACCCAACAGTTAAGTAAATAATGTAGCAATATGGACTATTGTGCAATTATTAGATATAGGTAGAAAATTATACAAAATTTTATAGAGTGAATGATTTTGACTGACTAAAACCTTAGTAAATGAAAGACTAGTTTATAGTGTTTTACTTTCCTTTTCCTGTTCTGTAGTTTCAATTCTGGTTTATGAATAGAGAACAATATTTTAAAGCAAATCATGAGAAAATGTACACTATACAATGTACAGGAATTATGGATTCCAATTTGAAATGCCTGCTAGATTTTGTAGGTTAAGATATGATAGAAGGTTAACTAGACTACCAGGCTCCTATTTATCTCCAGACCAGCTGATTCCTGATCCACAGGGGGCCATATCTCAGGAGAAATATGGTAACAGTAAGGCCAGCACCCGTCTGGAAGTGACCTACTTTGAGAGGCTGATGGATGATAACTTCCAGGCTTTACCAGACAAAAGATTTCTAGAAACTCCTCCTGATAATTGGCAGAGCTTCCTGAGTAACATCAATTCCTATCACCCACACATATCTCTCCAAAATATTTGAAAGCACTCTCCCGAAGTTGTTACACTGAATATATTTTTAAAGCAATATTCTGGAAACATTCCACTACAGATAAATGTGCTTTGGTAAGCAAAGTCAGAGACAGAGTTTTTCATGAAACCAAGTACAATACAAAGGTTTGTTTTGGCTGATATTTGCTAAGATTGGTGGTGATCATTTTGGAGCTTCTCTGTTGTCTCTTCAATATGATGACATTCATTATGCCAGCTTTCCATTCTGCCATTCATATTTGGAAAGAGAAACAGCTAGTGTAGATAAGTGCAGAATTTGTCTATTTTAGGTAGGCTCACCCTTTTCTTCAGTCCATGATAAAGATGTGCATGACCTACATTTCCTAGCTACAATCATGTTTTAAGTTTGGTATTTCCCCCAAATAACTGGGGTAAAACCAAATGCCAATATGCCAAGCATTCACTTTTTATTTATTCATTTATTTTTGTGAGTCAGGGCCTGGACACTGTTCCTAAGTTTTTCACTCAAGGCTAGCACTTTACCACTTTGAGCCATAACACCACATCCAGTTTTCTGGTGGTTAATTGCAGAAAAGAGTCCCACTGACTTTCTTACCTGGTCTGGCTTTAAATCGCAATCCTCAGATTTGAGCCTCCTGAATAGCTAGGATTATCAGCATGAGCAACAGGTACACAACCAAACATCCACTTTTGATCATTGCATGCATATGTGCATGAGTGAGTGAGCATGCATGTGTATATGTGCATTTTATTGTCTTAGTCATTTCATTTATATGCCTGTTCTGGGGCTTGAACTCAAGATCTTGTACTTTTGCTTGGCTTTTTTCACTCAAGGCTGGTACTCTAACACTTGAACTACACCTCCATTTTCTGTCAAAAACCTTTAAGTGAATGTATCATTAAAAAAAACATTTCAAAGACATTACTCCATGACATACACAGTATTTTGATTTTCTAGTTGACTGGGAAAGATATTTCCTCCAATGACAAAAGATATGACTTGAAAAGTAAATTTACATTATTCCTCTCACTAGCTGCTTGAATTCACTCAATCACCTTCTCCTGTCAAATCTGCCTTCTAAATTACCATCCAACTTTACTTTGTTTCTTTTCTACTAACTCTGACTTCAGACCTTCCACAATACCACTTCTCTGGCTAAATCCTTCTAATTTCTATCCCTAACTGTTTAACATATGGACCATCTCCACTGTCCTTTTTAACCCTCCCCAACAGTTGCTCTAATAATAAAGTAAGACTTAAAAAAATTATTGAAAAGGTGACGAGCAGAGGCTTACAGTTACATAAGTAAGGCAATAAGTACATTTTAAAGATGTTGTCATTACTCCAACCCTCTTTATCTTCCACTTACCCCTCCCTAACCCCTCCCAAGTTGTAATGTTCAGATCCGACATAGTGTCAAGTATCAATGTTGCTGTGGTTCATCCATTGTTCTGCTGTTTCTGTGATTCCCTTTCCCTTCCACATATTGCATTGTCTATTATGCAAAACATGAGGTACAAAAAGCTAAGAGAAATAAAAAAGAATAAAAAAACAATAGAGAAAAAAAGAATGAACTATATACAGTGTCTAAAGAGCCTCTAGGACTTATATGTTTACTTTCTCTCTTTATCCTTAGCTACTCCCTGCTTTGAAATTGTTATAACAACAAAAATTAATTTAGAGTTCTTATAAGATTGTACTACCTGTTATATTTGTGCCTTCAATTTGGGGTTCACGTCCAAGTCACTATTGTCTGTTTTTTGTTTGTATGGCTAATTTCATAAATTTTGACATATATCTCAAACATTTCCCTTTCCTGGAGCATTATCCTAACTAGTTCTTTGCTTTTCTTTATTTTTGTATTCCTGCTCTGTATTCTCAAAATATGATCAACTTCTTACAGACTGTGAAAATATGGACTTTAGGATATTGTCTTGTATGTTATAATCTATTCTGTCCCTGAAAGAGCAATAGACAGGTAGCAACTCTCAGTACATGATTATACAAATTTGTCTTAAGTCACATTTCCATAATGGAGAACTAAGTGGAGTTTGGGATGCTCAGTATTGATTGATTGAGTGAGTGTTATTCTGGAAAAATCTATAAGGAGAAGGGAAATAGCATAGAAAAGGAGAAAATTGACTAAGTAGGTGTCACATAAACTCTGGGTGTGGTACAATAGGAAAAGCGTTCAACCATAAAGCTGCCCTACATGGAGTGAAGGATCAGATTTTTTAAATGCTTGTAATAATTTTTGATCTTATGTCACAATTCAAGTGGGTGTAAATTGATCAGAAGCGTTTCTTTTTATCTGCAAAAGAGTTATTTTCAAAAATGCATAACTACAGCCGGTTAGCATTCAGCAGTCAAATGAGCTGTGGACAGGATACATCAGATTACTAAAGTGGTTGACTTTCTACCCTCCATAGATGTTACATTCTTCAGTTCTGGAGATGGAACCCTGGAGCTCATGCACTCTGTGACACCACTCTATCATTGAGCTATATCCTCAGTCTTTGTCAAATTTTTATTTGGGGACAGAGTCTTGCTAAATTGTTCAGTCTGACCTCAAACTTGCAATCTTCCTACTTCAGATAATGCATGCCTGGGACTACAGGCAGGCGTTAACATGCTGAGACTTAATTATTTTATTATTATTCTCATGTAGTTATCCAATCAGATAATTTAAGAGTAATGTGATTTACCTTTTTATAAGTAAACTCTTAACATTTTCATATTAGGGTAAAATATGTATGAGTTTTGTGATTAGACATTTCTTTTAGAACTCAACCTTCAAACCTGTTACCATGGAAATATTTTTGAACTCTTACATATATAGTAATAGTGACTTAGTTAAGATACTTTCTCTAATCTCATTTGAGTATATTGACATTATCCAGCTTGTGTAGCTTTTGTTCATGAAATGATACTTCAGTATGAACTCTCAGTAAAGCAATTAGTTCTGAATCTCAAATCTACCTCTGTTTTCATATAAGCTTGCAGAACTTTATGAGTGGTAACAAAAAGGAATGAAGATGGTCCTTCCAACTCTTACTCAACAACGTAATTGTATGGCTTGGTAAACTTTCTTTGGATGTAATGGCATATGTACTGTAGAGGAGTATTGACCTCTAGTGTTCTCATGAGGGAAAGACCTAGACAAGCGCAAACTTCCTGAAAGGCTTGGTAGAGGTTATTTTACTATGGAAGAAACAAAAACAGATTAAATACTGCTGATAACAAGTTTTTTTTTTTTACTAAAAATAATTAACAAAATCACCTAGTAACTTACAAAATGTAACAAACAATATTTAGAAATTTGCATTTGAAATGAGTGTTTTAAGTAAACAGAGACTGTTTGTTAATGTAAGGGGAAAACAGTGTATCAGTAGAAATTTCTGACCATCCAGAGATAACTTTTACATGATCACATATACCTTTAAGATTTGAGATGCCTTTAAGGTTGAAGTTACTTAAAGAGAATGGCTTTATTCCCAAAGAAATGGTGAAGTATTTTGAAATCAAGTGTCATTATATCTCTAATTTGTTTTCAGTGATTTAGGAAACACATAATATAGGCACTGAACCAGATACTATGTGCTCAACTTAGGAAAAATGTTCATAAAGAGTATTCCTATTTTTTTTTTGGTCAGTCGTGGGGATTGAACTCTGGGCTTGGGAGCTGTCCCTGCGCTCTTCAGCTCAAGGCTAGCATTCTATCACTTGAGCCACAGTGCCACTTCTGGTTTTCTAGTGGTTTATTAGAGCTAAGAGTCTCACGGACTTTCCTTCCCAGGCTGGCTTTGAACCGTGATCCTGAGATCTCAGCCTCCTGAGTAGCTAGGATTACAAGCATGAGCCACCGGCGCCTGGCAAAATATTCCTTTTCTTACCACTTCTCTCACCTCATAAGACCATAGTCCATCATTAATTTAAATATTTTTAAAATAATTTTTTTTGTCTTCTTTCCTCCAAAAATTATTAAAACATAATAATCTTACATCTACTTTTGAACAGCATGAATTTAATTGAGTCTCAGTAAAGTTTCCTTGAGCATAAATCTTTCATCTATTCTCATACTAAGAGAACATAAAATACCTCAGTTGTTCATGGCCCTGTAATTCCTCCAATTTTACCTCTAGCTTTTCCTTGCTAGAGGTGACTGAGCCATTTGAAATCTTTTTCCTTACAGTGACATATTGAATAAGCCCAATTTTCAAGACTGACTTACAACACTTTTTTCAGAAAGCAAATTTGAATATGTATATGTATCTATATAATCAATTTATCATTTGTCCATCCATCTCTCTATCAATCTATCAGTCTATCTGTCTATCTATCTATCTATCTATCTATCTATCTATCTATCTATCTATCTATCTATCTATCTATCTATCTATCTATCTATCTATCTACCTACCTATCTACCTATCTATCTATCTATCTATCTATCTATCTATCTATCTATCTATCTATCTATCTATCTATCTATCTATCTATCTACCTATCTATCTACCTATCTACCTATCTTCCCAATACAAATCTCCCTTTGGTCTTTGATGTAATTTGTTACTAACACTTAGAACTTTCTAGATGAATTCTTTTTACTTTTATCTTCAAATACTTTTCTTTAGCATTCAAATCTTCTGAGACTTGGAATAATTTCCAAGTCTTCTTATTGTTATTGCTGCTACCTTAAAGGTGTTTTATCCCTTTCACCAGCAGTGCTATCCTCTATGACAGATAGCTTCAGTTACTATTTATATTGTCTAGAATTATCTTGTAATCCAGAGAATGGTAAAACAATGTAATTTTATGCTTATTACCAAAATTATAACTGTTTAAATAAAATCAAGCAAAAACAAAAACAAGCGTGTGATGATGCATAGCTCAGGCAATTATATGACCTAGCCATCATTAACAGGAAGGATGGCAATGCCTGGGAAATTAATGATTTCTACCAAGCTTCCTGCACATTTCCTCTAGATAATGCATCAATATATCCCTTTAAAAAATCTTAGACTCAAATATGTTAATTAAAGTTGAGTAAATCAAGAATGGCATGAAATCAACAATTTTATTAAGAAAAAATATAAAGGAGTAGTGGGGGAAAGAATTCTAGGTTCAAACATAGCTGGATAGAAATCAAAACACTCACACTTATTAGATGTCATTAAAGCTTTTCAATTGTAAAGTTGTGTCATCAATTCAATTGGTTGGTTGGAACTTTAAGGCAATAGAGTTACAAAGAAAAGAGTGAGAAAGACAAAGTTGCTGCATTCTTTTGAGGAGACCAAAAAGCAAACATACAAATGGATACATAATGTCAGCTACAACAAAGATTCATGGGGAGAAGAATCTAGATCAAATGATCAAGATAAGTAAACAGTATTTCATAGAGGACACTAGAAAAGGCCTCTTTGAGAAATGATAGTTACATAGACGCAGAAAGGAAGTCATGTAAGTGGGTGGTGAACAGATTATAGATATAGGGAGCAGGAAGTTATCTAACAGAACCATAATGGATGCTTTTGTTTAGAGTAAATAAAAATTGTAAACTGGTTGGTGCATAAATGTTTATTAAATGTTATATATTTATGTTACATTAATAATTAGTTTAATATAATTCTATCTTTGCTCTACTATATATGCTCTTTCTCCTCTGCATAATTTATCTTCCTCAATTTTGTGGCTTCATCCTGTTCTCAGAGCCATTAGGTTGCATTCTTTTTAATCCATGATTGGAAAACCCTACTTGCAATACTTAGATATTATTGTGATTAGTTTTCTTGCTTTTGCCCTTTTGTTCAGCATTTGCATACTCTGAGCAATACCAAATTTATGTTCTTGCTAAGTGTTGGACCACAACCCACTCTAAGTAGGAAATCTATAACTTCTCTGTGACCCCAGTGTGAATGCATCTGTCTTTTGGGACCTGTTGTTTTGCATATGTATGAGGAAAGGGGATGATTAAAAAAATTGATATCACCAGGAATGGTAGTGCAAACCTGAAATTTCAGATTTCAGGAGGCATGAACGCAGATATTTCAAGGTGAAATCCAACCTAGGCTGTACAAGAAGAAATGCACATAAATTTACAAAGAAATAATGATGTCAAAATATCTATTTGGAAGATTGTGTTTTGAAGACACAAGGAAGGTCCAACCTTATGGCAACCCTGTGCTCCTCATTTCTTTTTACAGTTTCTTCTTTGTAGTTCCCAGAAATGAGTCAAAAGGAACTGTTTGCTTGTCTGTGACTTTGAAACCATTACTAGAGCTCAATTCACTTTTATTTTATTGACTTATGCACTGTTTTGCTATATTTTATTTAGTCCTAATATATCAGTCTGGATGAAAAGAGTGATAAAAGTGCAAATTGATTTGAACAGATTAAGTTCCACTAAAAAATATTAAATGGAATGGGGATTGGAATAATGAAGGGATTGACTTATGAAAAAACATGTATTTGTTTGCTTGGAATGCCATAACAAAATATTGAGTTGCTTGTACAACAATATTTTATTTCTTCTTATTCTGGTGTCTGGAAAGATCAAGATCAAGTTCCCGGCCAATTTGGTTTACATGATGGCACTCATTCTAGCTGTCAGATGACTTGCATCCTGTTTGTTTACACAATGCTTTCTTTGTGAGCACAAGGGAAGAGAAAAGGAAAAAGCTCTCATATGACTTCCTATAAGGACACTGATCTTATTAGAATAGCCACAGCCTCCGTAACCTTATCTAACTCTAATTACCTCCCAATGGTCCCATCTCCAAATATCATCATATTATGTATTAGTATTTCAGCATGTGAATGAGGCACAAATAATTCATAGCAAAAGAGAACCATAATTAATTTTAGGAATGTCTCCTATTACCCCTAGAAATGAGACTGAGAACCTAAGGAAAATTTCCCATTCTTCTATCATAGCAGGGATCTAAGCTTTACTGGAAAGCTATAGGTATTAACTAAATAGCAGGTCATCAAGTTCCTACACTACTAGAATTCCTTGGAAATTAAACCTGTGGAAGTTGACAGAAATAGTAAAAATAAGATTCTTGGGAAAACTATTCATGAAAGGATGTCTCACTGGAGGCTCTGTTTAAAAAAATGTCAAACTGCTGGCTACCATTCACTGTAGTAACTACACTATGAACTTGTCAAGCAAGCAAGCTGGAACTAAAAAGCAAGACCCTTTCCTCTTGCAAAGTTTCTCTAGCACCCTCTATTAGAATATTTTCAATAACAGGGAGAAAGATATTTACAAGGCCCAGACCTATTTTCATAGATCAGGCAAAAAGATATATTTAGAATGAGAGACAGTAAATCAATAATGAGCATACCAATATGACTAGAAATAAATACCAGCAGGAGCAGACTATGTAAGGAATAAATTATTTTATGTCAGGGTAAACTACTTTTCAGGGCCATTCTTAGTATTATTCATTTCTGCATTCAAAATATAGATAGACAGTGAATATTTGTGAAATGAATAAATTAACTGATAGCTTGAAATTTCTCTAATTCTTGATCCCTCTTTTTCTGTTTTATAACAGCGGATGGATGCACTGATTGGTCCGTTGACATCAAGAAATATCAAGTTCTTGTGGGGGAGCCTGTTCGAATCAAATGTGCACTGTTTTATGGTTATATCAGAGCAAATTACTCCCTGGCCCAAAGTGCTGGACTCAGTTTGATGTGGTACAAAAGCTCTGGTCCAGGAGACTTTGAAGAACCAATAGCTTTTGATGGAAGTAGGATGAGCAAAGAAGAAGACTCCATTTGGTTCCGACCAACATTGCTACAGGACAGTGGCCTTTATGCCTGCGTAATCAGGTATCCTTTTAATTCCATTATTGTTGATCAATGAAATCATGGGCTATGTTCTTATAGTTAAATTTTAGAACTAGTCTGTTCAACTAAAGGTATTCTGTCAATATTTGCATGGATTGTCACTTTCAAAAATTTAGAATTTAAATCATAAAAATGATGGAATTGGAATTTATATTGAGACATTATTTCTAGCTTATGGGGAGATGAGATACCATCTGGGTATCTACTTACATTGCCAGAAATTACTAAAGACTATGAAATAAAATTTATAGAGGAAGTAAAATGTTGCAAATAAAATGTAAGCAAAGACTTGCAGAAAGGATGCATAGTTTACTGCTAAATGGATTGTAATGTTTTGTTATTGCCCTTCACAGACAGATAGAGCAGAGATACCACTGGTTCCCACATATTTGCAAAGATGATTTAGGAAATGTGCATATGTGCACAGGAAGAGGAAAGTAGTATTGCTACATCAAGGAATAGGAAGGTTCTGTTTGAGATTTTCTTACTTAGCTAAAAATGCTGGATCAATATAAACATTTTTCTGAGTTTCTCAGCAGCAATAGCAAAGTTAATAAGAAAATCTCTGACATTATTACCAAAAGTACTCATCACATATCTATACATCTTTATCAGCTTCTAGAAGAGACACAGGAAGTTCGTTTAGTAATAATGAATTGAAACAATAGCTATATAAGACATTAGCAGTTGAAAGTATCAGTTCAACTACTTAAGTCCTTTACAGATTTGAATTTTATCCTGTAAATGACCATGAATATTGTTAAAATATTAGAACATTTCAAAGCTGGTTATAGGCTTAGAGGGTTTGTTTGAATCTATGTAGTTGATTTTCTATGTTTTGGCTTATTCAAATGTTTAAAATCTAAAGCAGTCAATTTACAGAAACATTTCAAACTTATCTAGTATTGTTTCAAATAAAACATAGAATTAATTTATAACTATATAACACTTCAGGGTGGTATCTAAGTGCATTAACTGAAATATGATAGATCCAGGGGAGAACTCAAATGGTATAGTCCTTTAGAAATGCTAACAGTCCAACTAAATAAACACCAGGAATCAGCTACTCAAAAGAGGGATGGGATCAAGGGAAGGAGGGGTAGACAAATGAAGAGATGAAAGGGGAAAGAACATAGTAATAACATTCAATGCATAATATACAAAATTAAGAAGATTGAGGAAAAGGGTAGGTTTGGGAGAGATGGGGGAGAATGATAAAAGGGGTGACATTTATCAATTATATTCATAACCTGCTTTGTGGAATGGAAAATCCTTTGTATAACTACTTAGTGATAGTAAAATTTTCAACTTTCATTCCTGAAATTCTGATATACACCTATCCATGCACTGTCATAAGGACCATCCCTTCATCTCACTGTAACCTATAACCTATAACCTATTACCTTTACGCTGAGCCATGACAAGTGTGTAAGGGCATTAAAATAGGTCAAATGCACAAGGAAGCTGAACAAATGTGTGCCTTTTAATATTGAAAAATGCATCGTTAATGTTGGAAAACATGAATATAAAGAGTTGTGCTTCAAAAGATGTCTAATGGATTTTTAAAAGTGCAAATGTCCAATTCCTTAGGCAATGCTAGTTCTTTTATGGTCTCCCAATCCTTTTACATTCAAGCATAACTATTAAAAGAAGTACAATTTTATGGGAGCTTTGACAAATAATTATCACAATAGTATAGTTAAAGAAGACTTTTTGAACCAAGTGTTCTTGCTAGACCAACAGTAACATGATTTCCATGTCATATTTGCTAATTTCTTTTTTTTTTTATTTGGTCATGGGCTTGAACTCTGGGCCTGTACGCTGTCCCTCAGCTCTTCAGCTCAAGGCTAGTGCTCTACCAATTGAGTCACAGAGCCACTTCCCGGCTTTTTGTGCTTATGTGGTGCTGAGGAATCAAAGCCAGGGCCTCATACATGCAAGGCAAGCGCTCTTCCATTGAGCCACTTTCCCAGCCCCTGCTATATTTCTTTTAAAAGTGTTAATTCTAGCCAAACACCACTAGCTCACACTGGAAATCCTTGTACTCAGGAGACTGAGATTTAAGGATTTCAGTTCCAACCCAGTCTGAGCAGGAAAGTTCTGTGAGACCATTATCTCCAGTTGACCTGAAAAAAAAAAATAGAAATGGAGCTGCCTTGCAAGTGATAGTATACTAACCTTGAGCAAAACAAAAGTTAAAGGCCCAAGCTAAGTTCAAGCCTCAGAACCAGAACCTGTATATCTGTGTGTGTAGGGTGTGTGTGTGTGTGTGTAGAAGTAATTCTTTGTATTTCCTTCCCCCATGGTGTAACTCCTGTTTTCACTGTATTTGCTGTAGGTATAATTTATGGAGGGGAAGGGAAAAAACAAATTGTTTAAACAGGAATACAGGTGGACCCATTGCAACAATGAGATGCACAAGGCTCTACGTTGAAAAACAAACTTTGCAATTTAGGCAGAGGGTAGGGGTGGGGGAGTGTAGTTGTGGAGATGGGAAGGAAGGGATGAGAGGGGAAAAACAAAGGAGGAGACAACAATGCTTGATAAGAAATGTACTCATTACCTTGCTCATGTAACTGTAACCCCTCCCCTGTACAGTATTTTTGCAATAAAAAACTTATTTTTTAAAAAAAGAAAAAAAAGAAGTAATTCTTCAATCCATATAGACTTAAGCTGATTGTCCATATTGTTATTGATGAGAAGTAATTTGAATAATCTGAATTTCAAAAGCACTGAACTGTTGAGGTCTTCTTTCTTTCTTTCTTTCTTTTTAACTCATCTATATTTGCTACCTTTTAAAGCACACTGTGAGCTCACTATATCACACACAAGCTCTGCTGCTGAGTGGCTTTAATGTTTTTTAACACAACATCTAGGGATGTTTATTTGTATTTCTCTAAATGGCACACTTAGGTCTTCTTTCTTTTAGGTAGTTCCCAGGACCAGGCACAGGCTAGGCAATTACACTACTACTATGTTACATTCCAAGTCCCAGTCGCAATTCTTTTTAAAAAAGAATTAAAAAAAATTTTTATCCTGAAGTAGTTGCACAGAAGGTTTTTTTTCTGTGTTTAAATATGCTCTCTGGTTCCAGGAATTTAAAAACTCCTGATTTACAGCTTTACAAATGAATGAAAGGTTAGATTTTTTTTTCTAAAACAATGACATGTGACCACATTTCTACACTTTATGGAAGCTGAAACTAAAAGATGAAAACCTTAAAGTTCACATGTTGAATGGCATTCTAGAGAAAACAATGAACTAATGAAAGAAAAGCTTTTCTCATTGAAATTGAAGGATGCCAATTGATTTAAAGGTAATTTAGCTATGGTCTCCTTTTCTCTGTAGTTTCTGGGTGGGTCCTCTTATCCTTAGAAAGATAAGAACTCCTGTTTTCAATTTGAACTTTATCTCCTGTGAGGCTTAGGAGTATTTTGTATTGTAATCCAATGCATTAAGCAGAACCTGCAGCAAAAATACCTTCAGGACAAATGCTTCTTTACTTGGTATTGAAATGTAGATGCTGGAAGACAATGCATTAAAACATTTGTATATGCCCTTTGACAAGCTAATGTAGGACTTTGCACATAGACCTTCCCAGCTACCTTCTCTAGATCTTAGAATACACATTGTATGCTAAACATTGCCACTGACATTTTTTCCCAGAGTCTATTTGTGGATTTTTAACAAAAATATCCAACAATTATTTATTAAATGAAATGTTAGTTAAGATTAAAGTCCTTTGAACACCTTGTAAAAATTAGACCAAAGTGCATACTTTCTTATTGCTGTCATTTTTCATAAGGAAACAAAACAATTCTACTTCTTACAGTATTTATTGCTGAAAAATGACAGTTTATGAATTGCTTATGCCACATCATGATCTTTTGTATTGCAAAAATGTTGTCTTTTAACAGAGTACACTTTCACTATCACCACAGAGAAATAGAAAGAAATAAATATTATGTCTGATATACTAACAAGAAGTAACTGTTATAACTGTAGTAGAAACAATTTAAGGGATTTATTTTAAACAATATTATGGAAGATAATTTTACTATTTATTAATATTTTCTTGAATGCTACTTAAAATTAATAATTCTAAGATCAAAAGATATATAATGTTGGCATCATTTTAGAGTCCAAAATATACACATCCCATGGAGTCTTCATAATTTGTTCAGGGAAATGGCAATCAATATAAATGTTTTATATCTTACCCAGAAATTTTAATGATCATTTACATATGTATTCCCAGGACCTACAGTAGTTTCACAATCTTGGTTTCCTAGTCATTCAACTATCTTTCCTAATTGAAACAAGAGTATACTCTTGAGATTATCAACTGTAAATTATAGGTTATAAAAAATGTTATTAGTGCTGGGAAGGTGACTCAGTGGTAGAGTGCTTGCCTTGCATGCATGAAGCCCTGGGTTCAATTCCTCAACACCATATAAGCAGAAAAAGCCGGAAGTGGTTCTGTGGCTCAAGTGGTAGAGCATTAGCCTTGAGCTGAAGAGCTCAGGGACAGAGCCTAGGCCCAGAGTTCAGGCCCCACCACTGACAAAAAAAGTTATTAAACCTGTATAAGTCAGTCATTTTGAAAAGCCATATAAAAGTGAAAATCTTTAATAACTTAATTCTGGCTGTAGAATATTTAATTGATGACATATTGAAACTATGGACTGTAAGTCAGATATTTTTTCTATATGTTTGATAAGTAATTCTTTCTTGCCATTATGGTCTTAAATGAGATTTTCCAGTTCCATAATTCTAATAGTGACTAGAGATGGTGCTGAAGTGGTAAATCAACAGATTTACTTAGAACAGATTCTAAGTTTAGATTTCTTCCTACATCTGTAATATAAAGGCATATACATAAAGGATCAAACTATTTTTTTTGGATCAAACTATTTTTGAAGAGGGCAATAATTATCTTTCTGAGTGCTTTCCTTTCCAAAATAATGTACTCAATTGAACGGAATGAAAAATCAAGACCTATATGAAGCATCTATTTGACATTCTGAATTTTTGCCATCCATGTCATCAACTTATAATTTAGTTACTGGTTAGATAAAATTAACTCTGATGTGGTGAAGATGAGGGTAGTTTATTAGATCATTGACTTAGCAGAAACTTTATGCAGTATTCTCAAGTCTTATAAGAGACAAAACTTTAAGAACTCTTTGAAATCACTGATATATAGAAACTTAACATTCTGTTGGGGGAGTACATAATAAAATGGAGGTAGGCTGCTGAAAAAGATATACTTATGAAAATAATCAGATGCATGAAATTTAATTCACAGAGTTTACACATTCTTTCTTGAATTCCATTTTAGGTAATTGAGTCACTTTGGGCTCTTTTCATTCATAAGTAAAACACATGCTTATTGTTTTGAGCATATATTATAGAAAGTCTATGGTATAGAGCAAATGGTAATTATAATGGGGAAACTTTTATTAATTGTTTTATATTATTTTCTTTTATTTATTTAATTAGTTTACAGTCCAGAGGATCTAACTTCTAAGCCAAATTCATTGTAAGCATATATTCTGCCCCTGAGCTACATCCCTGATAAAATAAGGGAATTTTATAAACAAAAATATTTGTTAAACATACAAGTTACTCACAATACATTTATTAGTGGCTATACATTTATCATAGGATTGTTAATTTTTTTATTCATAATTACTATTTTCCAAAATTGTCAACTGCTAATGTTTATGCAAGAATGAGAAAGAAGTTAATAGGCCAATAAAATGTTTTCATTAGTAAAATGTGAGATAAGTGAAAAAAGTTATGTATGAAGTAGTTAACATCATGCAAATCTTTAAACAAAATTTTGTATGTAATTACAAAGTAAATCACATAACTAGTAATCTCAATAAATATAGAGAAAGTAATAAGACTGAGGATTCTTGGAAGACCACATGAAGGGCTTGTGATTTGAGAAGGCCTTTGAAAACTGAACTCAAGGCTGGAAGAAATGAAGTTGAGGAAGATTTCTCTGTAAGAAATATTTTATGAGTATAATTCAAATTAAATGATTATCTAGAGCTGGAGCTGGCAAACTTCTTTCATAAAATGCAAAATATTAAAAACTTTATATATTCTCTATCTTAACTACTGTACTTTGCTATTATAATGGGATACCATCTACTCAGGTTACATAAATGAGTGTGTATGGTTGTACGCTGGTAAAATTTTATCTACAAAAACAAATGGTGGGACTATAGATCGTGTGTTTTTGATTCCCAAGTGGAAAATGCCTAGAATACTGTGAATAGATAAACCAATGTAAACAAATATTATTGCTACTAACAAACAAAAAGCCACAATATAGGCCTAATAAAACAAATAGAAGTAGAAGTTTGCATGCAATGGTTAGAAAAATGACTAAAAAGAATGAAGTTTGAAAAACTTCAAAAAACAATGATGTTGAGATTTAAATGGTGGACAAATATGAAGCAGGAAATATAAAGCTGAAAGCAGTTTTTCTGTAATTATTTTGTTGCCACTATATGAAGGTTTAGATAAATCTGAGCAGAAAATAGGCAAGGAGTTTTTAATGATAGAAATATGAAGCAATATATGATATCAGATTAATGAGGGGAAAAATGATAAAACAATTAAAAACATGTTTGAGATGATTTTGGAAGAATAAAATCCCTTAGAGATGGTATTTGTTGGATATATCTTCAACTTGATTGGATATTGCTACAGAAATCTAAAGAAAAATTGAGAGCCAAGAGGCACATCTTGATACTTTTCCATACAAACTTAAATGTTTTTACCCAAGAGCTCAAGATCTTGAGGAATAAAATTTTTGCCTGCCCATGATGCCATTACATGAATAAACCCTTTAAGACAGTTATTATTACTCTCTCATAGAAAATTTAATGAGAAGAAGAGGAAGCCTGGGGTCTTATCCTTGCAGTTCATAATCTTCTTTAGATCACTAACCTCTTAAAGGCAGAAATGTAACTTTACATATTTGCATCTCTGGTTATACATACACAATAGGTATGCATACAATAAGACATGAACAGAGAAGAATTTCTTGATTATAGTTTACCTAATTATAGATAAGCTACTGAGTACAAGAACCTCATAAAATTTTAGCAATAAAAAGATATTTGCCTCTCAAGGGACAGTCCAATGAAATTATTTCAGAACTGACATAAAAATAAGATACCTGCATGTCCAGGTTTCTTCTATGCTTCCCACTCTACTCACTTTGGGGTAAGCTCTTCATACTTATTTCTAAGATGAAACTCTATCCATCATATCTATGCCTCTGTAGCCATCAAGGAATATAAGGAACAAGAACATGATCTTTCCTATCCTTCAGAACAAGCCCCAATGGTTTGTTACATCATTTCTGCTTATACCTTGTAGGCCAGAACTTGTTCACATAATTACACCAAGCTGTAGTGTTTGCTGAGATATGTATTCTTTTTTATTGTCAGTTGCCTATATGCTTGATAAAAAAATACTGCTATTGCTAAGGATCTTAGATTGATTTCCCAAAAGGATTAGCTCAACACAAGGATTCTTGTGTGAGTGATCTATTGAGGGAGTGCTCTCAGGAGAAAACTGCAAAAGAATAAACCAGGCAATAATGTGTTTTCAAAAGTCTAGCCTTAGTGTGATCCCACAGGGAAGTCTAGAGCATGAATTACACAGGATTTAGCCTGCTTTGAAGTGAAGTGTATGGGCCTGGAGTTATAAGGCATCTTGGTCCAGGGGGCTCTGGCCATACTAAAATGATTTTTCAGAAAATGGCATAGATGTTATATTGACTAGTCAACCTTCACAGCAGCTGGAGAATGAAAACAACAGTTGGTGAGGAAATTCTAGATGCTGTACTAAAAGCATATGCTACACTGAGAAACATGGGGGCA